TTCCTGCTTTCTACTATTTCATTTTCTACCTTCTTTTTAGTGACCAATGGTGCGATTGAAGCAATTTTCGACAACTTTCGATGACCTCTGTTCTACTTCATTCTCTTTAACAACCTTTATTATTATGATGACTCATCTACTCCTACTCCAGCGAGTTCCAATTACACGAGGCATACCTTGTTAATTATCAACTAATAAAACTAAATCCATGTCTCATTCATAGCACAACAATGATTGTGTTTCAACAACCTTGCTAGACACTTATGAGAGATAAATAAGGGAGAAAAATTTAAGTTACGTAAGTCATACTATCCCGTTTCAAATTGATTACAAATTTAACATTTGTAAAATATTCTCAAGTGATTATGTTCTTATTTTTCAAAGTAATATTAATTTTTTTTTCTAATTTATCTATTCATAAATTATTCAACTACTACAATTTTAACTAATGTATTTAATGAGAAAGACTATTCTAGTAAAAGTGTTATATTTGTTTTTGTTTTAATCTATTGTAGAAACTTCAGACTGTGATCATCGTAGGATGAGGGAGTAATAAGAAAGGAATATAGATAAAATTATGGGTGTTAATGAGATGAATATAATGGTGGGTGTCCAAATATTATATCATACAAAAAGTATTATTAAAGATATAATTAATATATATAAGTATAAATTATTTTGAAATTTAGTTAATATAATGTTAATGTTAATTTTAAATAAAATTTAATAATATATATTACGTGTCATTATAATTCATGTTAATATTTTTTTAATATATATTATATTTATAATATAGATAAAAGTAATTTTTAATATATGAATATAGGATATGTGTTTAGTGGATGAAATTAATACTTTTGGTTTCTATTGAAATGTTATATACTCATTGGTTGATCATATATTTAACGGAAAGTCAAGTAGTTATTTTTCATTACATATACTTTTTTATATCACGTGTTAGCGTGTAACAATTAATGTAATTTTTTAAGAAAATATATAAAATAAATATTATTTATTTATCTTAGAATAAATGTCAGGAAAACAAAAGTTATTATTTCACATTTTAGATTAATGAAAATCAAAAAGGAAATCTTTTCTGAAAAAATCATTTTTTAAGAAAGAAATATAAAAGATAAAATAGTGATTTCAAATATTAGCTAGAAAATTTATATTTTTTTACAAAAATTAAAATTGAAAATTTTACTAATTTTATATAAAAAAATTTGCACCAATTTATAACAACTTAAAAACATATTTAAATGTTTAGTAACATAGGATAAACCCAGTAATTTGAGTTATTTTAAGAAAATTCAGTCGGCTATTGGTAATTCAGGACAATAGCTATTGTGCATTTGTGCCGCTCTTATATATCAATCGACTAACTTAGTAAATAAATCAATAGATTGTAAAATATATACAACAATTTTGTTTCGATCAAAAGATTCCATTTTGGCTCAAAAGATATTTTTAGATATGTCACTTTTCGTTCTTATTCAGGAGAGATTGAGTTTGCTTCAAATAATGTATCTCATTTCTTTGGTAAGCGAAGATATATTAAATGAATAAGATGCACTTAATTAGAGTCATAAACTATAGATAAAAAGCAAAATTTTCATATATTTACGAATATAAAAATTAAAGAGAATGATAAATATACTTGCAATATTAGTAATGAATATTTTTCTTATTAAATGAGAAAAAAAAAGTTAAAGAGACAATAAATCAATAATTAAGGGGAAATTATAAAAAATAATTAATTATTTCAATAAAAACACGTTAATTATTTCAATCGATACGTATGTCAAAATTTAAAATATAAAAGTAAAATACATCTAAGTTTGATTAATATTACAATAGTCTTAAAATATAGTTCATTTAAAAATAGTGTATTTAATTTGATATCGTATATCGAAATTTAAAATTTAAATAATCAAATTTAAGTAATATTGTTTATAAGGAAGAGAATAACATATAAAAAATAAAAAATAAAAAACTCTTATTTAAAAGTTAGAAGTAAAATTTATAATATAAAAATAAACAAAATATTTTCGAGGTCAATTCTATAATCTCATCAACTAATAATTTCCGTAAACTGGTGGATAAGAAAAGGGTCTTTACTAGCCCATATAACACCCATTAATTTAAATTATTTTGAAGTAGTCTAGCCCGTTAATTATCCGTTTGGTAGATCAAAATGTTGGTGGTGATAACTTTTGTGACTGACCCTCTTGGCCATTACTTAAAGCCCTTTTTGTTCCCCTTATGATAAAAAACTAACAAACCATAGAAGTCCAAAGAAAAGGTAACATTACATATATTGAAGTAATCATGCTGAATAATAAAGGCCCTTAGATATATTACCATGCTCATGAGGAGTACGGGCTCTCCTTTCATGTGGGCCCTAAAGATTCTGTTCAACTCCCATATTTGAGGCCAGGTCTTGTAGTCTAGCCCATTCCTACAGTTAATGAAGTATTTTATTGTGATTATACAAAAGCAAAAGCAATGGGAAGTTGGTTCTTCAATCTTTCAAATATCGATCATTAAAATCAAGTAAATTCTAATGATCTCCACCTAAATAAAATTAGTGTTATTTTTATTACCAATTTAATTTGTTTATATTTCTTAATTGCAGCCTTTGTTACTTACCATTCCAATAAATTTGTCTAATAATATTATTGAATGCACATTAACTAAAATTAAGGATGATAAACATGTTAAGCTCATCGAACCAACATCTCAGAAAATTGAGAAGATGGGATACAAGTTACCCCAATTTTAAGAGGCCAAATATCAGAGTTCAAAATAGAGTTGAAGAGTATGTAGAAAATGATTTTGTAATTTATCGATAAAAGTTACAACTGAAGTGTGTAAGTACTCTATTTATAGAACTTATTATATGTAACAACTTTCTAACAAAATAAAAAATATTTATAACAAATTACTCACATCCACTCGCAAAGTGATAAATGGTGTCACGACAATCAACTTGAACTACAAGAAAAATTCATATAGCTAGAAGAATAGAACATAACATCATTTTTCTATTTTTTCAGATATACTAATATAACAAAAAAACCAAAGGCCCAAGAAAAAAAAAACCCACTTTTGCAATTTCAATCTCTTGTGATGTACCCAACTCGTGTCCTAGGGAGTTGCACCATCACAAGGCCTCAACAATTAAAAGAACGAACCAAGTACCTTGTTTTTGGAAAACACTTAGGTTTGACCATTATACACATATTATATTCATGGTAATATTTTTTGTATGTCACATTAATATATAACATTTCTTAATGTACGTTTCTGAAACTTGATTTCTTATATGAAGTTTGATAGTTTCTTCTCTAAAATCACTTGGAATGAATACTGAAGAGAAGAGAGTAACGAAAAAAAAAAAAAAAAACAATGCCTCAACAATGACTCCCTAATTCTCTTAATATTTTCAAACCATTTTGTCGTTGTTGCAATTCCAACACACAAATCTTACATTGATTGTGTTCGCATTAGATTTCGCTAGTAAAAAGCATCATTCTTCTTCTTAGGATTCAATTTGTAAATAGAGAAAAATGAAAATTTGTACCATTATATTGATGAATATCTCATCACTAGAATAATGCAAGCTTAATTGTGCCTAAAGATCTGTGTTGCATTTCCTCCTGATAGTGTTTATAACATAGAAGTTGTAAAAAATGATCTTTTATAGTCAAGGAAAAACAGAGGCATGTATTTATAAGATAGAATGATAACAATTTTTAAAAGCTTGATGGAGTAAGTCTATTTATAGGTGATTTATCATCAAGAATTTTAAGCTACATTACAGTACTTTCTAGAGATATCGGACTCATGCATCAGCTACATATTTCTGACTTTTCTGCAAATATATAGATAGTGCATATAATGCATTATTCTAGAAATTTATTTTTCTTTTCCAAATTTTCATCACCTTTTAACACCTTTATGATACCATTTCAAGAAGCGTTTATTTAGTGTTCAATGGAAGCCTATGCAAATTACAGTATGGTGGAGAAGCAATGTGATTCCAAAACAAAGAAGCAGTTTCATGGTGACATGAAGAAAAGAAGATGGTATCGCTATAAAAAAATTATCATATAGTGATACACATTTTATAATAATACAATATTTGTTATTAAAAATTACTTTTACATACACTATAAATACATTATATATTGATATATTATTAAAAAGTATAAGTATAAACTATAGTGACACACAATATATATTACTGAATCTTATTCAAAATCAATATTAAAATATATAATTATATGTTCAATTGATTTATACTTACATATATTGCATCTGTATATAATGACATTTTTTATATGTCATTATATGTAACATTTTTGTAGTAATTTCCTTTCTTGATGATTATGCATGTCAAGTTGAACAACGAGTGAATGAATTTGAAAGTTGATGAATAGCAATGTTGGTGATTGGCAGGAATATATCATTGATTTTTTCTTCTGTTGAAACTAGTTTTAATTCCCTCTTTGATGATGGCATCAATTATGGGTTATAACTTCTTATGTCTCCTTGAATACGGTAGATCATCAATCTTATTCTTGGTAATAAATCTCTCTGCATTGGAGAGATCTGATACTATATCAAAAAATTGAGAAGATGAGATACAAGTTATCCCAACATGATAAAGCCAATAAATTTCATAAAATTCATAAAAGATTAGAGGAGTGTCAAAAATTTATTTTGTAATTGATTGATAAAAGATACAATTGAAGTGTATAAATATTATATTTATAGAGCTTAATTATTATATCTAACAACTTTGTAACAACATGAGATATTTCTAACAAACTACTCATAACTTACTTAACTTAGTTAACTCAACTTTACAAAATTAATTTATAACTAAAGATTGCTCCTCACTTATTGATTATTGTTGGAACTATTGGATTGAATATAAGTATAGCATATTAGAGATCTCATATTAACTAATAGTGTGTTTATATTAATGTTTATAAAGTTGAGTTAGATTTTAATTTACTTTCTAAATAGATATGATTGATGAGAATCATATATAATTCGGCCAGAAAATGGACGTGTATATATATATATAACTTACGAGAAAAAGTGATGTCGTCTTTCCTTTAGTGCCACAAATTTGACGAGGGAGTAATACATATAAATGATTAAGTTTCATGTGCTTCACTGATTACATGCCGCTAATTACTTCACAAAAAGAAGTATAAGTATATGAATTGGCACGGTGAGCCAGTAAAGCAGCATTTTCCTGAGCTGGAATAGTTTACCATCTTGCTTTGGTTCCGTACACACAACTGATCATTGACACTTGGCTAATTTCCTGGAATCGAGGTGCCATCGTAAAAAGTCCAGCAAGATCGAATCTTATTGGTGAATGAAACCTTGTTCACTGTTCACGTGGGTTTAGCCAATCGTATGTCACAAGGTGGATATATTTGGAGACAAAGGCCAAGCTTTACGACCATTTGCACTTTAACCACTACAAATTTAACAATATTGTAGCCAAATCGAGTATTTTTGAACGCTTTTAGGGACCTAAAAATCATGATGTATATTTCTGAGTATAGTAGCGCGTGGGGATGTCCCAGTTTGTGACTCAACCCTTTACGGGTCGCGCAAACAATGGTACGATTTTGCTCACAGTGGTCTGAGTTCGACACACGCGTGCGAAGGCCTCCCTCGATTGGCGAACAGTGTTCTATGAACTGTTTCGCATGTGTGTGTGTTCGGTCAGTCACTTGAACTGGCATAGCAGCAGCTTTTTTATCATATTCCTCCTACCTATGACCTAAGGCCTATGACTTTTCTTTTTAGTAAAAATAATCATTTACGAAGCAAAGCATGACTTAATCTTGTAATTGAACCATGTTAAGCTTCACCGAAATGGCTCTATACGTTTCAGTTGAGAAAAGAGATAAATGGGGGCAAATATGATCACCATCACTTATGTTATGCATAAAAAATAAGCAGGGATATATGGTCAAATGAGCATTTTAATTAGTTCATGCTTACTAAACACACTCTTTGACAATGATGCCTATGAGATGGATTGTGATGACGTGTCTAAAGTGGACCGTTGAATAAATTGATTTTTGGTGGACGTTGATTGAGGTAATTAAGCTTTCTTAAGTGAATCAGGATTTGAGATTTTGCGTTGATTGTAAGCTCTCTGGAGAAGCTGAAAAACCATGGGAATGAAGCTGAGACACCACTAGTATATTTATTATTATCCACTAGTTATATATTTTTTCTTTTTGATACACCACGCATTGTTCTATTTGTGAAAAAATATTATATTCTTAAGATAGATGAAAGCTTTTCCACACTATAATATCTATCTATGAGAGTGTCATATATATATATACAAAAGGAGAGTTATAATAACATCGGTATAACTTTTACTAAGTATTATATCGCTTAATAACTTTATATTAAATGTGAATTTTTTAAATTCAACTGTTAGATTGAAAGTTCTTATCATTTTATATGTGTATATCAAATTTCGTTAAAATTGAATAAGAACTTAAAGGTAATCAAAGTATTCATATTTTAGTATATTTTAAAATAAATATATTACGTCAATTTTATTTTATAAAAATAAAATATCAAATCATCTTGGATTGATATAAAATTTTGATATAAAATTTTGTATATATGATCTAAAAATAAAGAACTTTCATTCTAACAGTTAAATTTACAAAATTCACATTTAATATAAAGTTATTGAGTGGTGTAATACTTAGTAAAAATTATATCGGTGTTATTATAACTCTCCTCATATATATAAATAAATAAATATATATATATATACACACACATTTAGTATATACATTTTAAAATATACTAAAATATAAACATTTTGATTACCTTCAAGTTATTGTTTAATTTTAACAAAATTTGATATAAACATATAAAGTGATATGAACTTTCAATCTAACGATTAGATTTACAAAATTCACATTTAATATAAGATTATTAAGCGGTATAATACTTAGTAAAAATTATACCGATATTATTATAACATTCCTCATATATATATATATATATATATACTAATTTGGAGATAGAGTTTTATGTGTGAAGCTATTAAAATTTCACACATGCAAATTTATTTCACCAATATTAAAATGAACTGAAATTTTAATTGGTCTGTTGTGATGAAAATATGATTAAAATAATAATAAAAGTAAAAAAACCTTGTTAAAATTTAAATTTAAAAATGTTTTGAAGTTTTATTAATTGTGTTTAAACATTATACAGATAAAAAAGAATATTGCTGAGACTAACTAGTTAGTATGAACCTTTAACGTGTCAGAGGCTTATACGGCTGACGGCGCCATAAAAATTTTCAAAACTATTGAAGTAATACATTTTATCCTTGGATACTTCACTGTAGAAAGTATGCAAACTATAGTCACAAATTCTATCAGTGATCCAATTTTTAATTTAAACCCGCATAGTAAACTGCCCCACTGTCACAACCTTTCACCCAGGAACTGCTTTTTTCTGCTTATAAAACTCTCCCACCACCCAAAAAATGGAAAGCCAGCGCCACACAATTCTTGCACCATCTTGAATACCGTCCAACCAAGTAAGAACTAATTCATTAATTCTCTCATCTCAACTTTACTGAACTTTGTGTATTCACAGTACTTTTCTATTATGCACGACTCAAAATATATATATAACTATTTACTTTAATTAGAAACCCTAATTCGTGTGCAAGAGAATGGGAAGGGGGAAGATTGTGATTGAAAGGATCGACAATTCCACCAGCCGGCAAGTGACTTTCTCAAAGAGGAGAAAGGGATTGATCAAGAAAGCCAAAGAGCTAGCCATTCTCTGTGATGCACAAGTTGGCCTTGTGATATTCTCTAGCACGGGAAAGCTTTATGAATATGCAAGCACCAGGTTTGATTATCATCTTTTTTTAATTGCAATAATACCATGGATATAAAGATACCATAGTAGTCGATCTGATATATAAACATGCTCATGATACGAACAGATCCATCGTGTCCTAACAAGTCTATCTGATATCTGATCCTAGATTTAAATCGTCTCTATTTGACTGGAGTTCCGTGTTTTTTAAATTTTACTGAACATATATATGCATGGCTACAAGTTCAAAGAGATCAGGTTCAAGCATGTGATTGATATATACTAGGAGAATCTTCTGTAATCATGTAACTATATATTCGCATAATTACTATAATGTAACTATAAAAAATATATATATATAATTACAGGAGATTCTCCTGAAACTTGACATTTCTAGATAGCATATATGTATATTCATATTTTTCAACCCAAATGTCATATGAATTAACAACACTTTTCTCCAGGCTCTGACAATAGATTTAGTAAAGCTGGTGAATCAGGATTAATTTAACCTGCAGCTAGATTTTGTAGGATATTGAGAGTGTCATCTGGGAAACAGATTAAATGTGTGCACTTTGCTGGAGTCTATAATGAAAAGAGAACTGCGGTTTTCTTTTTTTAGGAACAAATATATATATATATATATATATATATAGACACACAAACTTATCCTTAAAGCTTATGAATCAGTGCACGATTACAACTCTGAACCTAACTTTCCTGTGTGCTAGCTCATCCAAAGGCAGAGTCACCCCCGAAAGAAAGAACTATATTATGTTGGCTTGTATTCACTGGTTTCTTTTAAGATACAATTTCTTTTCTTCTAAGTATGATTAATGTTATTCTTTAATTAAAATTGAAGTTTTTTTTAATAATATGTATAAATATATATTAACAAAATCTATATTAAATATAAATGTATATTATTGAAATAAAACTATAATTCTATTTAGAGAATAATATTAAATACACTTAATCCACTTTACATAATTTTTTATTTCTTTAATCTTTATGATATATATTATAGTAAACATTTATATATTCTTGAGTCGTAATTAACTCACCAATTCAACCTCATTAAGATATTGGGAAATGTATACATGTACATGGTTTTAGACTTTAAGCTAGCTAATGATGTATTGGCAGTTAATTATTAGAAATATATACCATGGTGGAAAAATAGAAATTTAAAGTCTGAATTTTATGCATCGCAATCATTAGAGGTGCAACCACATGTATATAGATTATATACAGCTGTTTAGATACATCTTTTAACTTTGATGCCTGTCAACCTAGTATTGCTAATTTTAGAAGGTTACATACATATGGAAAGTATGCGTGATTCCAATATTTGTATAACTTTAAGCATTATCAATCTAAATGATTTTAGCTGATGTATACCATGCCTTTAATTAGTCGGTTTCAAATATCATTCAGGATGTGGATGTATTAGGTAGCAGCAGCACACTGGTCGGTAGCTAGAGCATGTCTCTTCCCAAAAGAAAATATGCAAATCCCATTTAGGATCATTATCATTGGCAAATGTATGCATCGGATAAAGTGTTGTCACCACTAGTTTTGATATAGACAACCTTATCATATAATTAAAACCTAGCTATTTAAGCACTTAGTTTTGATTTGATAGGTTTCATTGTCATATGGTTTTGGTTTTTTATATATATATTTCACCCAAGTTGGAATGAGTGTTTTTCTATTTTGTATTCTTGCTTCCTAGTCTTAGATCATGCATTGAACCCTTCGGCTTTTAACCAATGTCTACAACGTCATGTAGAAAAAGGACGCGTTTTGGATAAGTTTTATTAAAAAAGATACATTTTTTTTTTCTCTAGAAACACCTTTTTTAGTTTGAACAAAAACAACATTGAAAGAACTCCTTTTCTATTTTTTTTAAATATCTAATTATCATAACATATTTTTCAATTGAAAAATAAAATATTTATATATTCTTTTAAACACTCAAACAAATTGACACACAATTTAGTATAAGTGTATTGTACTTATTACTTAACATTTTTCTTTGTAATACTTATTATCATTAAATATGCGAAAACACAAAGTGGTATTCTTTATGTGGTAAATTTTAAATGTAAGTTAAACATTTGAAGATAATACAAAAACACGAAAAAATTTACTAATAAAAACAGAAACACTAAATTTACTAATAAAAGTAAGAGAGGAAAGGTTAAATATTTTCTTTTAATGACAAAAATAGAGTAAAGATTAATTGGTTAATTAGATCAGTAATGATTTGTCCAGTTGGGAAAATCATAGGGTTAATACGTAGCTAACGAATCCAGTATAGTTCTAATCGGACAAATTTATATTATTGGAATATTGGTTGCAATATTTACTTCGAAAACTAATTATATATGCTTGTTTTAGTTTTCTTCATATTCATGAAATTTCAATTTGGAATCTGAGCCCCTAACCCAGTCAATTGATTAACTCTTGTTTTTTAAGCTTTTAAAATTGTCTTAAACACCGGTAATTAGTTTTCTTTTAACACCTTTCCTTGTGATGCTTTTTTTTAACACCTTTATAATTTATTTAAAAATTCTCAAAATAAGTAAGTTAAAAAAAAAAGGTAAATTATATTTGTGGAAATACGATTTTTAAATAAAAACTGTGCTTCACAATCATGATTTTTACTTTTTTTATTTATATGGAAATCGTGTTTACAAAACATGACTTTCCTTTTCTTTTAGTAATTTTTTAATGGCAAAGTTGTATTTACACCTTTCACGACTTTATGAGGTGTTTTTATTATTAAAATAATATATTTTAATGTAAAATTTAAATAAATAAAAATTCATTCTTTAAAATACAAATTCGATATTTAAAAACAAAAAATTAGAAATCAGTATTTTTGAAATACGACTTTCACTTTAGAAGTCGACTTACCTATATTTCAAAATAAAATTTATCTACTTTAAATTTTCAAACAAAAAATATTGCCCTTTAAGATAAAAAAAAACATCATTTTAAATGGAAAGTCACTCTTTTTAATACATTATTATTATTATTATTATTATTATTATTATTATTATTATTATTATTATTATTATTATCATTGTAAACCGAAATTTATTAAAAAAATTGTGAATAGATGAGTGAGACTTATTAAATAGTGACTGAGACATAATTTTTTATTTTCAATATATATGTTAATTAATAATAAAGACTTAATTAAAAATACATTGCAAACATTTCTAAAGTCGCTTCTATTTAACTTCGAGGATTCCATGCATGCATGTTATAATTATAGCAACATGACTACCTGCCTTTATTGTACTTTCTCAAAAATAAAAATTAAAAGCTAACACACATATATAATCATAATATACTAATGGAGATTTTATTTTTCAAAAAATAATCATTTTTTAAACCTTTTAATGAAATTTAAACGATTTTTTATGAGAAAAAATTAAATTAAATATGAACTGATTATATTGTATTTTGATTATTCAGAAATTTAAATTTTTTACAAACACCTTTGACCTAAATTAAGCAATAATACATACATGTATGACTTAATTGACAACCTAATAAATCTTATCTCATGCAAGAACAAACGTTTAGGTTCAAATTTAACTAGGTGGTGGAGGGAATCCCTTACTTTCAAGTTGATATTTTTATTGTTATATTTTAGTTGACACTCCTCGTTACAAATGACTCAATTTCAATTCGAACCAATAATGAAATGAGAATTATAAAATTATCTTGCAGTCATATACATATATTATATTTATTATTAAAAATTAATTTTACATACAATATTTGTTGATATATATTATTAAATATATTATAATTGTTAAAAAGTGTATGTAGATTATAGTAATATAATATATATTGTTAAATTCTATTCAAATTTAATGTTAAAATAGTGCGTAAGTATTAAATAAATTTATACATACATACATATTTATAATGATATTTTTTATATGTTATTATATATAATATTTTTTGTAGTTAAAATTTAGTTAACTTAAGATAAAAATTAACTAATTAATATTTAAAAATGAATATGTTTTGTATGGAACTCTTGATAAGTAAAGCTTATAATATGTTGCCGATGAATCAAAATTATGTATTTCATTTTTTAGTTATAAAAAAAATTATTATATAATGACATATATTTTATAGTAACATAATGTTATTATAAATTATTTTTATCTACTCTATAAATATATTATATATTAATATATTATTAAAAAAGTACAATTATAAATTATAATGGCATATTATATATATGCTATTGAATCTTTTTTAAAATCAATACAAATTTATGCATAATTATATATATATATATATATATTAATAATTTTGTATATTATTGTATATAACATTTTTTTATAGTAAATATACTTGTGTATGCTTTTTAAATATTTGAATATATATTTAGCCTTTAATATTAGCTCTTTCAAGATAAAATCTTTTGTTTCAGTTTCGTTAGCTTGTGGCCAAAACCATACCCTCGAACAATCTTATCACAAACTTTTGATTCGTATTAAAATATCAATAAACTCTACTGAAAACTGAGAGAAATTGAATTATATATAAATATGCACCGGTGGAACACAAGATATAGTATATTTCTTAGTACATACTAACATTGAATAATGCGTTACAGTTACAATTGAACTAATTAAACTAGCTAGCTAATTGAATGTAAAATAGTTTCATCTTGTAACACTAAGAAGGTTGTAACCCATGCAAACTTGATCGTAGCCAACATAGAAATGAAGCTAATAAAAATAATTAAGAGCTTTTGGCAAAATAAACATGTGCAATTTAATCATAGGAAGATGCAAGTAATTAACGAGTTTGACTTAGAGACATGTTGAAGATGTTTAGTACACCATAGGATGGTATTGTAATATGAAAAACACTCGAATCAGTCATCATAATAAGTGATAATATTTCAAAAACAAATAACTACACTAAGGTCATTTAGGTATTGTTTTAGAATAGACTTTGATATTATTTTAGAATATAAATTTAAATTTAATTTAATATCACAAAATTAATTTATAAAGTAAAAGTTATCCTTTATATATATTATTTTAATTATATTATTAATTAATGTGAAATTTCTAACAATAAATACATCTTTTAGTGGTGTGATATGTGCTATGTGTTTTCATTATGTCTTTTTCAAATACGTTTTTCCTAATTAATAGAATTATTAATTTCGTAGAACAAAATAAAGAAAGATGTAAATGTTTTTTTCTTCTTCATATTACCAGCATGAAATCAATAATCGAGAGGTATACTACATGTAAAGAAGAGCGT